GTCTGAGCAGCCCCGCCGGGTGGGAGGCGATCGTCCCCGCGGAGAGACATCGGCGGCGCAGGCGCCCCACGTCCCCTAAATCTCAGCTGGACACAGCCATCCGGGCGGAGATGCAGCATGAAAATGGGGGGAAGGAGGGAGAGCAGAGAAGAGGGGGCGCTGCGGCCACCGTCTACCCACTCCGGCCGACTTCGGGGAGCGCAGCCCTCTGGGTCTCTGGAGCTGCAGCGCTTCCCCCAGACCTAGGGGGCACCCCTCGCCAACCCCACCCTATTGTGAAGTCTTGGGGTCACAGGCCCTGTCTGCTTGGATCCCCACTGCCTAGAGCAAGCTGGCAGGTTGCTGGTCACTGTACCTATTTGTCTTATGAATGATTGCATGAATGAATGAATAAATTCTCACGGGACACATCAAGAGAGCTTAATTCAGCCCACTGTTCAGGAAGGCTTCCTGGAGGAGGTGACCCCCTCTGCTGAGACTCCAGCCTGGGCAGGCAACAGCCAGGCTAAGAGGGATGAGAAGTAGCCCAGGGAGAGGCAGCAGCAGGGGCGCCAGGTGGTGGAACTGCGTGGGCCTTTGGCCAGGGCACTCTGGGAACTCCCATTTTCACCGTTTCTGCCCCCTCGAAGTCCCAGGTTCAAAACATATTTCCCCAGGCTGTTTGCACAAGGACCCCCGAGTGGTCTGGGGCAGGCCAGCTGTGCGTTTGGGGTGCAATGGGACCTCTTCCAGGCAAGAGGCATCAAAGCAGACAGTTTACCCCAGAGACCATTTTCTGAGGGCCTCTGGGGTATGTCACTTCTGCCTGCTCTGAGTCCCTGGATACAAACAGCCAGGGCTGTGCTGAGCATGGAGAGGATGTGCTGTGTTTAGCCAGTCTGGCCCGGGCCTGCGTTTGCAGAGAATAAACCTAGGCCGTTTGACACTGTGGCAGCCCACAGGGTGGGGCTCACATCTGGGCAAGGGCACTGGGACACCTTTAAATGACCCCTGTCCCTGGAAGAGAAGAGGAGTGGAACTTCCAGGTGGCCCGTTCTGTTCTTTCTCTTGAAGCCATCTGATGCTCCCCTGGCCCCTGGCCCCACCCCACCCGCTGCCCCCTCTCCGAACCCCGCTAAGCCGCTTATTCTTAGACTATTTTGAATTGCCTCTCAGGCAGCTGAGCCTCCTGCCTGGGTGAGAGGATTGGAGGGACAGTGGATGCAGCTTTCTTGGGCTCAGCCAGCTAGCCACCTGGGTGGGGGAGAGACCTCGTCATTGCAGGCATAAGTGGGGAGCCAGGACTGGAGCTCCCCTCATCACGTAGGTGACTACTTCGGTGTAGGAAGCCTCAGGGCAGGTCGGACACCCCTGGCAGCCT